CGAAGCTTCGCTACCGTTCGCCTGGCGAAGGTGCTGGTGAAGAAGTGGTAGCTTTCCTCATGCAAATTCTAGTAGCAAAACCACCCAAAGTTTGCCTGGCGAGAGAGGCCAGCGAATGTTCGCCTGGCGAGTGAATTGTTCGCCTGGCGAATGCACAATACCTCAGAGGGCGGTTTGCTATCCAGAGGCACTTTGAAGTGCCAAGTTATTTTTGGTTCGCCTGGCGAAGGTCATGGTTCGCCTGGCGAATGTGCACAGACAACACTTCCTTTTTACTTTATTTGTTGCTTTATATAGCCCATACCATGTACTTGGAAAGAAATTACCAAGGAATGAATCTTGTAACATAAGAATAGAGCTCTAGAACCCTAAAAATATTAGTTCTTCTTCATTTTGCTATTTTGTGTGCAATCAAGGAGAAGTGGAATCACATCCTTCATCGATTCTTCGAAGTGGATGTTCTTCATCTTCTCCATTTCCTTCTTGTTCAAAGCCACCATGAGAATGAGTGGCTAAGTTTTTCTTGTTGTCAAGGTTAGATGTAGGTGATCATCAACCTTTGTATGTAAATGTATTGATCTTCATTTGTATTGTAAACTCTTGGATGATGAATGAATGATGAAAACTTTGCTTTATTGAAAACTCTTTGTGTTGGTTTATGATTGAGAGATATTTTCCAACTCTTAACCTAGGTTTTCATCCATCTTTGTTTTTAAGCTAGAGATAGTTAAGAATGAAGATGTTCACTTAAAATGTTAAACTTTAATGTTATCAGTTTGATAGATTGTGTGAGAGATCAACAATGGATCAAAACGGTAAAACCCACAATGTGAGTTAGAGATAATCACATTGAGAGGATGTTGTGAATGAGTTTATTATCTAGATGGAGTTTATAAATCTTGTTGATTAAGCATATGCATGCAAAGTGATCATTGAAACCTAACTTTGGCAATCTTTCTTTAAATCGTCAAACCTTAGTTTTTACCGTTGTTTATAACTTTTTATGCAAGATACCGTTTTTAAAACCAAACCCTTTGTTACTATAAAACTACGAATTTAACAACTTTCGTACGGCGGAAAAATCTTATATTCCCTGTGGAGACGATAACAAAAACCCGACACTTTATCACTGTCACAAACATATGCCTCTTTAGATAAGCATAATTTCGACTTCTTTCTATCTTTTCGGATGTCAATCCCAAGAATCCTGGATGCAGCTCCCAGATCCTTCATGTAGAACTCCTTATTGAGTTCAGCCTTCACCCTCATTACACCTTCAACATTGTTGCTTTCTATTATAATATCATCCACATAAAGCAACAAAATAACAAATGAATTACCAGGTCGAAATCTGAAGTAAAAATAGTGGTCGAACTGACTTCTAATGAAACTTATGCGTGCCATGAACTTGTCGAATCTCCTATTCCACGGTCGAGGAGATTGTTTCCGTCCATATAAAGACCTATTCAGTTTGTACACATAATATTCCTTCCCTTTTTCGACATACCCTTCAAGTTGCCTCAAAAAGATTGTTTCATCTAGATCACCAACCAAGAACGCAGTCTTCACATCCATCTATTCGACCTTGTGAGTCGAAGTCATCTTGAACAATGGTTGCGTTGCCATTATCCTTACCTCCATGATCTTTCAGGCGTTCGGGGCACACCTTTCTTGTGTGACCCTCCTTCTTACAGTGATAACATTGAATACTAGATGTTTCACCACTATAAGACTTCTGCTGACTTTTACCTTTCTTCTTGTGGAACTTACCATCCTTTCACAAGAATTTTCCTTTAACGGCCAAACCTTCGCCCACCGTAGAAGGTTTATGCTCCTCTTGTTTGTTCAAGTCCTTAGAATACAAGGCTGATTGAACTTCTTCAAAGCTCAGGGACTCCCTTCCATACAAGACAATTTCTTTGAAGTGAGCATGTGTTCTGGGCAAAACACACAACAACAACAGTGCTTGATCTTCATCATCGATCTTCACATTAATATTTTCAAGATCAAGAATTAGCTTGTTGAACATATCCAACTACTCAGCCAACACTTTGTCTTCACTCATCTTGAATGAATACAAAGCTTGCTTCAGGTAGAGTCGATTCACTAGGGATTTGGTCATCTACAAACTTTTAAGTTTCACCCATAACCCCGATGTTATAGTCTCCTTTGATACATATCGAAGAACCTTATCACCAAGGCTCAAAAATATTGTACTATAGGCTTTCTCAATCATGCTTGTCTTTTCTTTTATCTTTAACGCAACGTCCATGACTGCCTCACCCTTTAACGCTTTCAAACAACCCTGCTGAACCAGTAGGACTTTCATCTTCAAACGCCACAGACCGAAGATGTTCACTCCGATGAACTTTTCAATCTCATACTTTGTTGAAGGAATCTTCTCCACGCTCACGTCACCTATTTGTTGTGAATCGGATGCCTTGAAACAAAGTATAAATGGTTTCTTTATGATCAAGAAATACACAATGTTTAGGGTTAACAAAGAAAACAAGGTAAAAAGGCAAGGAACAACAAGGATTGGTTATAAACTACTATTATTTCCTTTCTCTTAAAAACAAGATTACAAGTATACAAGAATAACAAAATAACCTCTCTCTCTTGAAATTAGGATTTTATCTTCCTATTTTTCCTAATGCCAAGATGAGAGACTAGCATGCCATTTATAAGAAAATTAGCACACTAACCTAATAGGATTTTTAACAATTACCCATTACAAGCTAACTTAGGGTACAAGCTAACTTAAACAATTGGGATTACAAGCAAGACCCAATTCAACATGCTAAAAAACTAACAATATTGACTAATGCATGTTAGAACAAATTTCGACTACAACACACATTACTCTGACAAGAACTTGTGAACAGACTTCGACCTCATGCTTAATTCCATACTAGAGTTCGATCTAATATCTCACACAAGAAAGTAATGATAAATTGAAGAATAGATGAATTTCTTATTTGGTGAGTGTTGGAGGTGGTTTACATGAATGTCACAAACAATGAAAGTATTGGATATATTCATAGAATCCAGAAGAGCTACCATATAAGCATTATCATTGATCTTTTGAGTCACTTTGAACGGGCCATATTTGCATGGTTGTAGCTTGCTCTAAGTACCAACTGGAAACCTCTTCTTACGCAGAATTACCAACACATCGTTTACCACATTGAAAACTTTAACTTTCATGTGTTTATCTCGCATAAGAGAAAAATTGTTTGGTAGTTCATTTGCGGTCAACTTAAAATCCTCTAGGATCCCTAGCAGTTCTTCTAGAATTATTGTTTCCTTGTTACAACAATCATCGACCCTTTAATCACTACCAGACAAAAAATTCAGTTTTTTAACAGCCTCGTCAAGTTCCTTTTCACTCTGCATCATCCCCAAGAAACTAGACTTTTCTCTAGATTCTTATCAAAGTGGAAAATATAAGCCATAAAAAGTTTATGTGTGCTCCGTGTAAACATAACCACGTTATCCCGGCCTCGATAAGTGATATCATTATCAAACTACCAATGCCTTCTAAGTAATATGACAAACATCCATATAAAGAACATCACAAAGTATCTCTTCACTATAATGCTTTTTGATGGGGACTGGAACTCTGTAGGCTACTATTAATTGAACTTGAAAGCCCTTGCTTACCCAACCGAGGGAGTACGGATTCTCACGGGGTTCTGTGAACAACTTCAAACAATCGACTAATTTTTGTGATACAAGATTCTCCATGCTACCACTATCCACAATCAGATTATACACATTGTTCTTGATAGAATATTGTATTTTAAAAAAATTCTTGTGATGCCCTTCATCTTTGGATGGTAGTAATATTCTTTGCAACACACAATTTACCTTCTCATCAGATTCTTCCTCTGCAAACTTAACCCATGCATATTCATCGTTCTATATTGTATGTCGTTCTCTTTCCTCTTCCTCTTCCCTTTCTTCTGCAATAACATCAACTCTCCTTATTGGACAAACATTTAATATGTGATCTCTTCCATTACAATGATAACATGTGTCTCCAGTGGATTTAGCATATGAATTATTCTACCTCTAGACTGATGTTTTACTATGTTGCATACCGCTAGGGCTGTCAGTCCACTTATTCTCAGGATTGTAATCCCTGATTGGTGCACTCTTTTTCTTGCTGCCTACTGATTCAAAGTTATTATGCGGAGAATACTGAAAAGATGAAAAATTTCGAGGGGATTTCTCCAACATTTCTGCCTTCAAAGATAGATTGGATGTCTTAACCACCGTCCATACAACCTGCAAATCAATCTTCTCCTGCAAAGATTCCTTTAAGCCACTGATGTTTCAAGATACTCTGATTCTCCCATTTCATTACACTCAGAGAAACGTAGGAACTAAACTGTGTATTTTGGTGACGAGGAATCCTAAATCGGTGGTGCTGATCTTCGATACGGTGGCACAGTAGTAGACTTACAAAGTTAGCACTACAACGTCCAAATCAGTTCTGATCGTGAAATGAAAATCAAAAAGAGTACATTGCATTTTGTGTGATATGATTCTCTACCTTTGATTATTTAGAGTGAATTAACATTAATTTAAACCTTTGTTCGACCGAGAATATAAATGTTTATTAGAAAATCAAATACAAATACTAAATGCATGCTTAAGTGTGATAATCACCTTTATATTCAAGCTAAATTAATCAACCCTAAACGTATTAAAGAAACTCAATCCACACCAGTGCTGTTTAGCAACATGTATGAACTATGAACTAGAACATAAAAATTGAAATGTTCATATCTGCCTTCTTTTCAAAAAGTTTCAAATGAAACACAATTTCATAATAATAAATTCTATAATTGTTTGAAGGCGTTCATAATATCGGTTCAAATAATTACTTATTGCCAGAACGTTAAAAACATAATTGAATTCAAAATTTCAACTACTACATATTTACATTTGAGGTCAACCTAAAGCAACTAAAAGTTTCAAACTACAATGAACATTTATTTGCTTTCTTCCCTATAGTTACGTTCAACAGCTTCATGGTCCAGTGGTTGAATCCTTATACTGATTTCTGGCACTGGCAGCACAATTGGTTGCACCTGCGACTCACCAACCTTTCGACATGTTTGAAGAAGACATTGTCTGCACTTGGGACATGATGAGTGTTCCTTTAGCCATTTGTCAATGCAACGGACATGGAAACCATGGTTGCATTTCGGCAAAATGCGCACCTTTTCGCCCTTTGTAAATTCCGAGAGACATATCACACACTCTGCATCCAAACCTGGCAGTTTTAACTCATCTAAGTAGCTCACTACGGGAAATGTCTTGAGAACCTTCTTCTTGATTCCTTTGTTGACCAACTGAGGCGAAGAAGTTTCGTTGTTGTTGATGGCTACGTTAGAAAACCTCAAGGCACACCTTATAATGGAGTTTAATACAAGTGAGCATATAAGTGCACACAATAGAACTGCAACTATCATCACAACGTTTGAATCGAATTCAAGAGCTCCAAAATGTGAGTCTGTTGAATTATTTTTGTTTGTTAAAACAGGGGAGTTGGTTTGTGATCGATGATCTACTGGGTTTTGGAAGAGTAACCTTCTTGTGTTAGATTCTACAAGAAGCTCATGAACGAGTTGAGAAGTAAAGGAAGTAGAAGCATACATGTTCTTTGTTAGAAAACTGATGAGTTGGTTAATTAGAGCTTGAGGGCTGTTGTTATACTGTCCTAGATGAGTGAACTATATATATATTGTTATTGTAACTGACTTTGATTAAAGTTTAATGTGTTTTTCATCTTTTTTTTCTCCACTGATCACTGTCTTTATGTATATTATTTAATTTGATTTATATAGGGTCCATTTTATTTCCACTTTATGCCAACAAGAGTGGCAACTGAATTTCATAAATCATACCATATATATTATATGTTTATCAATTGGAATTGCTGTTTACCGCTAAACAAAGAACCCATCAAGCTCAAAAAGGAATAGTAAAGAGAATAATTGATGCTAAAATATATTTTTTTTTCAAGGTTGAGGACTTAATGCAATGCGGACAGGACAAGTCACTGGAAAAGCGTTGTGGAAAAGGTCTTTTGTTTTCTTAGCTGCCATCGTTCTTTTAGTACTCTTGTAACGAGTGACAAGCGACAAGTTGAGTTTCCAAACATTAACGTCAACCATGATTTATGGCCATAGGATTATGAACTAGTATAATTACTATTACCTCCTTCCATATTATTAACAGAATTGGCTAGTTATTTAGTTACTTTTGAAACTAACTTTTAGAGTTGTACTATCTTGACGGGAGCTTCTATAGCGAAGTTACATAACTGATTTTTTTTAGAGAGGTCATCTTAATTGGTCAATATAATTATGGTCTAAATCACTTCAGCTTTATAATGCAAGAAGTTTATAGTGAACCATTTTTTATTTGAAAATTTTAATTATTGCATATCAGTCATCCATTAAGTTTATAATAATTTACAAATTAAAACAACTTTTATTTTAATTTAATAACTTTTATTTGACAAACACATCCACATGTTCATCGAAGTTGTTCTTCTTCTTTCTTCTCCCAATTTTAGAGATCAAAATTGTAATTGAAAATCCTAAATTCCTAAATCCCACCCACATGTTCTTTGAACTCCTTATTCTTCTTTTTTCTTCTACCAATTTATGAGGTTGGAATTGCAATTGAAAACCCTTATTTCCACTTTATTGTTCTTCTAACTCCTTCTTCTTCTTCCTTCTCCCAATTTCAACCTCTTCTCTCTCACTCAATTTAGTAACCGTGTTCATGTTTGATTTTTAGCTTTCAGAGCAAACTTTCGTATAATTTGTATTGGTTGTGGTGCTCATCAAATCATTTATAAATGTCTGTGGTTGATTCAAAGAAATAGTTCAATGTCGTCGATTAATTTTACAGGTAGTTGTGACTATCCATCTAAATTTGTATATTTACCGAAAATCAAGATTATTTTAGTTACTGCACATGAATTATTGGTTGGGTTAAAGATTTTTTTATTGGAATTCATTGTGAAATTGATTTCAATTCATATGGGCTTAAAAGGCCCACATGTCACAACAAAAAAATGTGTTGGACTTCTGTGCCGATTCCCTGTACGGAAAGGTATAATAATAGTCATTTTGATATCAGACGTCAAACCTACATAAAATCTGCCAAATCTTTCTGATGTGCGATTTTTTCTTCGGTAGGCACAACCAACATTCCTTCATGAGTCTCTTTAACTTTTGAAGAAATTGACCCCGAGTTCTCTTCTTGATAAAGAGCCTCATCTGCTTAATACACGTGAATGTCACCAATAATGAAAGTATTGGATATATTTATAAAATCCAAAAGAGCTACCATATAAGCATTATCATTGATCTTTCGGGTCACTTTAAATGGGCCATACTTGCGTGGTTGTAACTTGCTCTAAGTACCAAGTGAAAACCTCTTCTTACGCAGAAACACCATTGTATCGTCTCCCACATTGAAAACTTTAACTTTCATGTGTTTATCTCGCATATGAGGCAAATCGTTTGGTAGTTCATTTGCGGTCAACTTGAAATCATCTAGGATCCGTATCAGTTCTTCTAGAACTGTTGTTTCCTCGTTTACAGCACTCATCGACCCTTTAATCACCACTAGAAAAAAATCAATTTTTTTAACAGCCTTGTCAAGCTCCTTTTCACACTGCGTCATCACCAAGAAACTATGCCTTTTCTCTAGATTCTTATCAAAGTGGAAGATATGAGCCATACCAATTTTATGTATGCCCCGTGTAAACATAATCACGTTATTCTGACCTGGATAAGTGATATCATTATCATACTACCAAAGCCTACCAAGTAATATGATAAACATTCATATCAAGAACATAACAAAGTACCTCTTCTCTATAATGCTCTCTGATGGAGATAGGAATTCTGTAGGCGACTATTACTTGAACTTGGGAGCCCTTGCTTACCCAATCGAGGGTGTATGGATTCTCATGGGGATTCTATGGGCAACTTTAAATAATCTACAAATTTTTATGGCACAAGATTCTCCAGGCTACCATTATCCACGATCAGATTACACACATTGTTCTTGATAGAACAATGTGTATTTAAGAAAATTCTTGTGGTGCCCTTTATCTTTGGATGGTAGTAAATTCTCTGCAACACAAAATTTACCTTCTCATTAGACTCTTCCTCTGCAAACTGAACCCCTGCATATCCATCTTTCTATATTGTATGTCATTCTCTTTCCTCTTCCTCTTCCCTTTCTTCCGCAACAACATCAACTCTCCTTGTTGGACAAACATTTGATCTGCGATCTGTTCCATTATAACGATAACATGTGTCTCTAGTGGATTTAGCATATGGATTATTCCACCTCTAGACTGATGTTTTACCCTATGGCATACCGTTAAGGCTATTAGTCTACTTATTCTTGGGTTTGTAATCCCTGGTTGGTGCATTATTTTCCTTGCCGCCTACTGATTCAAAGTTATTATGGGGTGAATAAATAAAATATGAGAAATTTCGAGAGGATTTCGACCTTCAAAGCTAGATTGGATGCCTCAACCACGGTCCATACAGCCTATAGACCCATATTCTCTTGCAAAGATCCCTTTAAGCTGCTAGTGTATCAAGATACTCTGATTTTCCCATTTCATTGCGCTTAGAGAAACACAGGAACTCAACTATGTATTTTGGCGATGAAGAATCCTAAATCAGTGGTGTTAATCTTCGATACGACGACGCTGAAGTGGGCCTACAATATTAGCACTCCAACGTCCAAATAGGTTATGAATTCAAGATAAGTATAGTGAAATAGAAATCATAAAAAAGTACATTGCATTTTGTGTTAAATGATTTTACATTGTTGTAACAAACGATACTAGTTAACAAATAAATCTTTGAAAAACATAGTTTCTTGACGAAGAATGAAACTGTTAGGTTAACAAAGAGAAAGAGAAGAAAGAAGGATAATAGGATTAAGAAAACTGTTTTTCTATTCACTTACTCAATTAGGGTACAAATGATTACAAGTGAATAACAACAATTAGCCTCTCTTAACAACCTGAGAGAACTAACCTATTTATATGCAACTAAGCTAACCTAAAAAATTGGATCCAGTAAACAAGGACCAATTCAACATTAAAAACTAGAACGAACTTCGACTACGGCATGTGAGCCAGCTTCCACTGCATGTTTGTCTCCTGTTAAAACATGAAAACTTTTTCTGCTGACAACATCCTAGTCGACATCATTAGAGTTCAATCCAAATATCTCACAAATCTCCATCTTGAAACGAACGCTATAATAAAAAGGAATAATATAACTTTCATCATGTAGCTTTATCAACTACATACAGTGGAAAAACTTGTAGCTCGACAATGTCTTGGTGATCATATCAGCAGCATTGTCATCAGTCGAAACCTTTAGCACTTGCACTTCTTCACACTTGATTATCTCTCTGACAAAGTGCAATCTTACATCGATGTGCTTGGTTCGCTCATGATAAGTTGAATTCTTCGACATCTGTATTGACCTTTGACTATCACATTTAACAATGATAACTCGACCTTGAAGTTTCAACTCCTTTGCAAAACCTTCAAGCCATAATGCTTCTTTCACAGCTTCAGTGAGGGAAATATATTATGCTTTAGTGGTTGATAAGACAATAACGTTCTGAAGTATCACTTTCCAACTGATTGATATGCCGAACATAGTGAACACATATCCAGAAATAGATTTTCTAGAATCCATACAACCTACATAGTCAGAATCGATGTCATACCCTAAATTTGTCCTACCCCTTTTTAAATTTTTCGCATTTTTTCGATTATATTTTTGTTTTACATTGCCCGCTTATTTTCTCGTCATTTAGACACGTGCCCACTCACAATTGGACCATTTTTCGAATCTTTGGTGTTTTGCTCAATAAGAGCTTGACATGTGGCCTAAAGACATTTTGTGAATATTAATTTTTTTTAGTTTCTTAAACTTTTTCTTTTTAAATGTTACTAATAATTTTCTCTTTTTAGGTAATTAATATTGTTTTTCTAGTTTGTTTTTATGTATTTGTTAATATTTGATTAATTATAATTGTTAATATTTATTTATTAAGGTTATGATAGTTAATATTATAAATGTTAATTTATATTATAGTTATTGGTTTTGATGTTAATAATTTGGATAATGAAAAGAAAATTAATAAAAAAGAAGGTCAGATTTTCTAGAGAGAACGAAAGGCCCAATGGTGAGAGGCCCAAGTTCGGATGCATATATGGAGGGGGAGAGGGTCATTGAGGGAAACCTAATTCGTTACTGTTCATCTCCCTTCTCAGAGCGAAAACGGCGCCGCTGAGAAACCTTAACCTCAGTTTTCCTATTCTTCCTCCTCTTCCGTTGAAACGGCACCGTGAAACTCCTCTTCAATCCACAACAACTGCAAAATCCACACGAACCACCATATCTACCGCCACTAAAACCCATAACTCCCAGCCGCCGTTGATTTCTTCAAAAAAAAAAACGGACACCTTCACCAATCCGACCCTAGCTGTTCTTCTCCCTCTTCCAAAAACCCACGCCGAACCTTCTTCCGTTTCAATCTTTTCCTTTTCATTTTCGAGCACTTGAACCATCAAACTCGTACCTTTGATTTAAGC